GAAACTATAGACTTAGTATTTTAGACTTCACAAACATCTAATTTGAACCAGTGCTGCATTCATCATACCACGTGACACACAAAAATCGATCTTTATCTGTGTTTTTAATATTTGCTTTTAAATTAACAAACTGAGTAATGTATAGTTCTAACATTTGAATTATAATCTACAGTTTGATACCAAACTTATTGACATAAATTCATGAAATAACAGTTCAATAAAGTTTTGAATGAGAGTCAACAAACGAGATGACATGGCCTTTCACCTGTGACCCATCTTGAAAGGGTTAATATAGAGGAAAATTGCTCTTTCTATTGGTTATAAGTATTTTCATTACCCATAGCTTGATTAGCAAGACAATCTTGAAAGCCAAAGAGAAACAGGAAGAACTTCTCTGATAGGTTTGACATGTATATTGGTCAAATTTTATATTCTTGCTTGCAGCAACCTGTTTTCGATGTTGAAAAAATTCTGAAGTAAAGAAATTGGAGCTCAAATGTGTCAATGACATAGAAAAATTAAGAGTGAGAATTTTTTAATATTTCCTTTTGAAATTAAAACTGGCTTAATACAGATGCTCTAAGATAGCTACCTGTTGCTGAGATTTTGTAGTCAGTGACCTTCTGTCTATGCTGGTTAACTAGCTTCTGAAAGTCTTACATATATTTACCAGTTAAGAGAAATGCTGTGAGTGAAACAGTTTTTGAAGTCTGTTCAGACTCAACATTATTTGTGAGCATGGTGAAAATCAGTAGCTATAATCTTTCTCCTTGAAAATTCTCCAAAATGTATAAAAAAAAGTAGCTCTGATTTTACACATGCAAGATGTAATGATGCAAAAGTAAGCTAATTTTATTCTAACTTGTATATTTTTAAGGGTTATTAACTAATAGAACATTATAATGTAAGCATTTATGAAAATGTTAATGTAAGGGGAAAATATTTTAAGGCAACTGGTTACTTTTTATATCAGTAAGAACATTTTTTGTAATTCATTGATGTATTTTTTATATGTGTATCTCATGTGTCAATGTATGTAAGATTACTGTTATTTACCACAATATTTGACAAATATAAAAAGTTGAAAGTTGATAATTTGGGCACATGATACATTAATGAAAATGCTTAATGATTCTGAATGCTTAACATAGAATATGACTTATGATGGATATTGTATTTGTCCAAGCTGCCTCTTGTGAAAGATGTTATATATTTATTTTCCTCTGTCTTAAATTTATTTTTAATTTTTCTGTATGGCACATGCATAGTTTGTGTAGCTAAGATGAACAATATTAAATTTAAGTTTCTATTGATATAGTAGCTACAATATTGATTTGAATAATGTGTGTCATATTACAATAGTCAGGTGTTTATCCATATACACATGTGGATAGAAGCATGAATGATTTAAACTTGGCTTGCTTTGATATTCCAGTGTTTTTGTGGTTACCCTATAACTGTTAATGTGCAAAAGTGTATTTCCGGTATGAAGTTGGCGACCAAGGTGAAGGCATAAGTTGACATGAAAGCAATAATATTAAAATGCTGTTACACTATGTTAGCAAAGAAGCATTTAAGATATGTTTCACCAAGGTATACATTGTTTAAAAGTCATTGTACTATAATAAAGTATCCTGTAGAACTTGTAAATCAGCTTCAGTATTGTATGATTTTTAGTGTTTCTAATTGCATAGGAAGGAAATATGCCTTTAGACGAGCTTCTTGCCATCTATGGTTGTTGCAATCAGCAGAGTGTTGGAAATATTCAGCATGTTCCTGTGGAGTTGCATGAAGAAGATTTCAATAACAGTACCTCTAAAGAAGCTGTAGAAAGGGATGAAACAGATGATGGCAGTAGAGGAAATGATCTTTATGAACCAGGGGAGCACTCTAATTCTACGCACGTGCTACGATGTATGTGTCATAGCTTATGAATATTAGTGCTTTAGCTATATGTATGGTTAGATGTTTGTTTGTTTATTACAGTACTATCTAGAGTTTTTTATTCAGTGTAATTCTGGATATTTATTTCTTTGGAATAAAAATTCTAAATAGTTTACATCTAATGATATATGTGACTTTTTACTGATAATAATTTCACTTGATGTGATATCTTAGAAACATTTTATTTAAAGCTTTGAGTAAAACTATTATTCCGATAAGGTACTCTCCCTCCGCTTACAAGATCAGCTTTTCTTGTTTTGTGCTGCCCTGTGTATGCAAACGCATGCTACAAGCCTTCATCATCCCTCTGTTGGAATCCAAGGTTCCAATATGCAAATCATCATGCATTACATCTCCACCAATAGGAGAACACTACTGTCACGTGACGCATGTGACTCCCTCTACCTGTCACTACTGATCTATCACTTCTCATTTGGCAGCTGTCAAGTTCAGACGTTTTATTTTTACATTGTTCAGTTACCTTGAAGTGTTTTTTTTATTTTTCTCAACTTTTTATGTACTACATTTCACAGTTGTGGAGTT